TAAAAAAAAAAAAGCCCACTTGTTTACTGTGATGCTGGCTGACCAGGCACCAGCTCTTGCCAAAGCTTTCGGCCTCAGCCAAGCACTGACAAATTCATCATAGGAAACCAATCTGTTTCACTTGCGTGTTAATATGCTGATGGGTGTTGAACTTATAACAATGTGTTTAGACTTTATGAAATGCTCGTACATTTTTTCCTGCATTAATCTCACTTATTTTATCTTTATCACATGCTGTAAGGTAATATTTAAGTTTTTGCTTTATAACTAAGCAATTTTTTCCCTGAAACTGTCAACTTTTCAGAAGGAATCATCTCCTGCTCATTAAGAAGGCTATCAAAACTAAATGGGCCATTGTAGAACATCACAACAAGACTTTGGTAATTGCCCCTTCACACCCATGAAGAGGCTACATGCAAAAAGACTTGTCCCATCAAGCCTGAATTCTGGAAGAAGGAAATAAAGATATTGAACAAAACATTTTTTCATCTCTTTTGCTGTTTTGACTCTCACAGAGCTGGAGCTGGGAAACAGAAGCAGAGTTCCTGAGGGTCAACCTAGGTTGGCCCTTGTCATGCTGTCTGGAGTGGCTCACCAGTCAGGGCAGACTGTCAGAAAACAAGGGCAGACACCCCAAACTGGTGGTATGTTCTGTAGTTAGATTTCACCAAGCAAACAACAAATGTGAACTCCTGGATCATTATATCAGTCTTACCATGGAGTCACAGACAGTCCCCTTAGCCTCTCCAGTCTATCTTCTAACCCAGACAAACTGAACTTTGTGATAAAAGTTTATAAAAAAAAACAAAAATCACACCACATCAGGTTTCTCCCCATCCCAAAAGATCAGTCTCTTATCACAGATCAATTGGTACTCCAGATCTTACACCAAAGACAATGCTGGCAGATTTATTAGCTAAGAAAAAAAAAGTGAGAATTATTGAGATATTAAAGCAGGTAATTTGTAACTCCAAATGGTGGCAGTGATATAATAAACTGCCAGTCTCCCAAAAGTCTTTTCAGGGTATCCAGTCTGTCTCTGGGGATCCCAACTTTGCATCTGGCACACTTCCCTGTAAGAGTCCACCATCCTTTCTTGAATCCATATTTATAGCTCCTTTACACAGAAAGGAAGCTGAGAGTATCTTTACTCACGTGGCTTTTCCTTTGATGTGAGAGAGAGAGGAATGCATTTTGAATCTCTGACCTCCGATCATTATACACAATGACCATTTGCTTTGAAGCTAGCACTCTTCATTTGCATTCCATAAGGCTTCATTGGAGTTTGATGGGTTATTTACTCACAGGCCTACACACAATGTAAATGTTTGCTATTGCATTGTACAGGAACAGATAAGTGAGAACAAGACAAGTAACAAAACACCCTATACACTCTTTTGTATTCAACAATTACTTTGATCTATCCAAATAGAAAGTAAATTGGCCTGGACTGACCTGGTCAGCCATCAACGCAGCCCTAAAAGACATTTAGTGCTAACAAAAACAACAAGGAGTCTGGTGGCACTTTAAAGACTAACAGATTTATTTGGGCATAAGCTTTCGTGGGTAAAAACCCTCACTTCTTCAGATGCATAGAGTGAAAGTTACAGATGCAGGCATTATATACTGACACATGGAGAGAAGGGAGTTACTTCGCAAGTGGAGAACCAGTGTTGACAGGGCCAATTTAATCAGGGTGGATGTAGTCCATTCCCAATAATAGATGAGGAGGTGTCAATTCCAGGAGAGGAAAAGCTGCTTCTGTAGTGAGCCAGCCACTCCCAGTCCCTATTCAAGCCCAGATTAATGGTGTTAAATTTGCAAATGAATTTTAGTTCTGCTGTTTCTCTTTGAAGTCTGTTTCTGAAGTTTTTTTGTTCAATAATAGTGACTTTTAAATCAGTAATAGAATGACCAGGGAGATTGAAGTGTTCACTTACTGGCTAAGCTATCTAAACTCCTACCTGCCACAGGGGGCTACAACAGTCGGACCCTCAACTCATCTAACAACATTGTCAATCTTTCCAACCACACACAGCCCAGCAGAAGAGTCTGTCCTATCTCGGGGACTCTCTTTCTGTCCCACCATCCCCACGAACATGATACAGTTCTGCGGTGATCTGGAAGCCTACTTTCATCGTCTCCGACTCAGGGAATATTTTCAACGCACCACTGAACAGTGCACTGGCCCACAGGAACCCTCCTACCAACACTACAAGAAGAAGAACTCTGCGTGGACTCCTCCTGACGGTCGAAATGACAGACTGGACCTCTACATAGAGTGCTTCCGCAGACGTGCACAGGCTGAAATTGTGGACAAACAACATCACTTATCCCATAACCTCAGCCGTACAGAACGCAATGCCATCCACAGCCTCAGAAACAACTCTGACATTATCATCAAAGGGGCTGACAAAGGAGGTGCTGTAGTCATAATGAACAGGTCGGATTATGAACAGGAGGCTGCCAGGCAACTCTCCAAGACCACATTCTATAGGCCACTATCCTCTCATCCCACTGAGGAATACCAAAAGAAACTACACCATCTGCTCAAGAAATTCCCGGCTACAGTACGGGAACGAATCTACATGGACACCCTCCCAGAACCCCGACTACGGGTATTCTATCTGCTACCCAAGATCCATAAACCCGGAAACCCTGGACGCCCCATCATCTCAGGCATTGGCACTCTTACAGCAGGATTATCTGGCTATTTGGACTCTCTCCTCAGACCCTACGCTACCAGCACTCCTAGCTAGCTTCGAGACACCAACGACTTCCTGAGGAAACTACAATGCATTGGTGTTCTTCCTGAAAACACCATCCTGGCCACCATGGATATAGAAGCACTTTACACCAATATTCCACATGAGGATGGACTACAAGCTGTCAGGAACAGTATCCCTGATGAGGCCACGGCACACCTGGTGGTTGAGCTTTGTGACTTTGTCCTCACCCACAACCACTTCAGATTTGGGGACAACTTATACCTTCAAGTCGGTGGCACTGCTATGGGTACCCGCATGGCCCCACAGTATGCCAACATTTTTATGGCTGACTTAGAACAACGCTTCCTCAGCTCTCGCCCCCTAGTGCCCCTCCTCTACTTGCGCTACATTGATGACATCTTCATCATATGGACCCACGGAAAGGAGGCCCTTGAAGAATTCCACCTGGACTTCAACAATTTCCACCCCACCATCAACCTCAGCCTGGACCAGTCCACACAAGAGATCCACTTCCTAGACACTACAGTGCAAATAAGTGATGGTCACATAAACACCACCCTATACCAGAAACCTACTGACTGCTATACGTACCTACATGCCTCCAGCTTCCATCCAAGACACAGCACGCAATCCATTGTCTACAACCAAGCCCTAAGATACAACCGAATTTGCTCCAACCCCTCAGACAGAGACAAACACCTACAAGATCTCTATCAAGCATTCTTAAAACTACAATACCCACCTGGGGAAGTGAGGAAACAGATTGACAGAGCAAGACGGGTACCCAGAAATCACCTACTACAGGACAGGCCAAACAAGGACAATAACAGAACACAACTGGCCATCACATACAGCCCCCAGCTAAAACCTCTCCAGCACATTATCCACGATCTACAACCTATCCTGGAAAATGATCCCTCACTCTCACAGACCTTGGGAGGCAGGCCAGTCCTCGCTTACAGACAACCCCCCAACCTGAAGCAAATACTCACCAGCAACTACACACCACACCACAGAAACACCAACCCAGGAACCAATCCCTGTAGCAAACCTCGTTGCCTACTCTGTCCCCATATCTACTCTGGCGACACCATCAGAGGACCCAACCACATCAGCCACACCATCAAGGGCTCATTCAACTGCACATCTACTAATGTTATATATGCCATCATGTGCCAGCAATGCCCCTCTGCCATGTACATTGGCCAAACCGGACAGTCCCTCCGCAAAAGAATAAATGGACACAAATCAGACATCAGGAACGGTAACATATAAAAGCCAGTAAGTGAACACTTCAATCTCTCTGGTCATTCTATTACTGATTTAAAAGTCACTATTATTGAACAAAAAAACTTCAGAAACAGACTTCAAAGAGAAACAGCAGAACTAAAATTCATTTGTAAATTTAACACCATTAATCTGGGCTTGAATAGGGACTGGGAGTGGCTGGCTCATTACAAAAGCAGCTTTTCCTCTCCTGGAATTGACACCTCCTCATCTATTATTGGGAGTGGACTACATCCACCCTGATTGAATTGGCCCTGTCAACACTGGTTCTCCACTTGCGAAGTAACTCCCTTCTCTCCATGTGTCAGTATATAATGCCTGCATCTGTAACTTTCACTCTATGCATCTGAAGAAGTGAGGTTTTTACCCACGAAAGCTTATGCCCAAATAAATCTGTTAGTCTTTAAGGTGCCACCACACTCCTTGTTGTTTTTGTAGATACAGACTAACACGGCTACCCCCTGATACTTAGTGCTAACAGATTACTACAACTCTGTCACCTTTTAAAACCATAGATTGTAACTCATTTGTGCATATATGTTTGCGTGCTTTAACCTGTAAATAGCTCTCTCATTTCTTTTTCCTAGTTAATAAATCCTTAGTTTACCACAGGATTGGCTACACATGTTGTCTTTGGTGTGAGATCTGAGGTACAAATTGACCTGCAGTAAATGACTGGTTTCTTAGGACTGAAAACAACCCAAATATTTTGTGATCTTTGATGTATGGCAACAAGCTATCACTAACTGGCAAGACAGACTGGAATGCCCACGGGAACAGTCTGTGACTCCATGGTAAGACTGTTAGAGTGCTTCAGGAGTTCACGTTTGTTACTGGGTGGTGAAATCTAATTATAGAGCATACAACCAGCTGCCCTGCTTTTTGATAGTCTGCCCCGAGGTTGGCACTCATGGACATGAATCACTCCAGACAGCCTGAGATATATTAAGAGATTTTAAATTTTCTGTCTGATACAGTACATACCCGTTCCTTTGCTTACATATGGGGGCTTGAAGAATTTCACAGCACCATACAAGTTGACTATAGTTCCGCCTTTAAGATGATTCAGAGGAGTGTATGTGTATTTTGGTGCAACAGGCTGGAAAAAGACAATAAAAAAGTGGACACATATGAAAACATTACTTCAAAAAAAATCAATCCAAAATTATTTCTTTTAACCTTCCCGCACCAAATATTGTCCTTTTCTTGCCATTTTTTAAAAAAAAATAAGCACTATCTAGTCTAGTCCCCTCAGGTTTTAGAGCAGGAGTCTACCTTATTCATTTTAGGAGCTCAAAATAAATATGTCCACTACCCACAGGCAGCAAGCAAGCATGAGGAGATATTTGATTTTCACTCTCCTATTCTTTCTGATTGTGTTTTCCTTGTTATAAATATAAACTAGTCAATTCAACTTATTTGAATGTGTCTGTCACTATGTGAATGCAAACAGTACAAGCACGACAAAGCACACATGAAAATATCTTTTTAATCGATTTTAACTTTATCCATCGCCCTGGCATCTGAGGTCATTTTATAGATGCAGTAGTAATCTGATAAAATATTTTTGTAATTCTTCTTTGCAGAGATCACAACGCATCATTACTGCTCTTGAGTCTCAGGGTACATCTAAACTACCCGCCGGATCGGCGGGTAGCGATCTATCTATCGGGGATCGATTTATCGCGTGTAGTGTAGACGTGATAAATCAATCCCCGATCGCTCTCCCGTCGACTGCTGAACTCCAGCTGGGCGAGAGGTGGAAGCAAAGTCGACGGGGGAGCGGCGGCCGTCGATCCCGCGCCGCAAGGACGCGAAGTGATTCTAAGTCGATCTAAGATACATCGACTTCAGCTACGCTATTCTCGTAGCTGAAGTTGCGTATCTTAGATCGATCCCCCCCCAGTGTAGACCAGGCCTCACATCTCCTGCAACAGTAATCCAGAGAAATTTCTCTAGCTCTTAAGATTTTTGAACCTCTGAGGTACTTGAAGGCTAGCTCAGGGCTCTGGCTTACTGAGCATCCCCCCACATAAAGTCCCACAATGTGCCTGCCAGCTCCTTTCATGAACAAAAAAACAACAGTTCCCCCAAATTAATTGAAGATGATAAAAAAATTCTACAATTTTTTCCTACAAAAAACATAAAATGGACACATAGATGAAAGACCCAGGTCATACCTCAAAAAGTTAAATCTCCAAACTGAGGGTGGGAGATGGTGGATCAGTGAGAATGCTGTGTGATACTTTCAAAGAATTATATCCCTTCTTTAAAAATATCTCACACACAACATTTCCACTCTGTAGGTCTACGGATGTTTCAAACAAAAACCAATCACTGCAATAGGCAGCGTTAGATGGAGGCCAGTGTCCAATAAGAACCAAGTTTTGTTTGTTTTTAAAATCAAAGGAAAGTAGAGATAGCTCTAACTTGTGAAAAGCACAAATATAGGCTCACGGAGCCTTCACCTTCACCTTCAATATCGTGGTGCGGAATGCGCGGCAAACACAGATCACCATCTAATTGTTGCCCGTATGGTGTTGATGCTCCAACAAGCAGGTAAGCCCTCTGGATGATGAAGAAGTTTGACATCGACGCACTCCGTGTGCCAGGTTTAGCCAACAGATTTTGTATTGACGTCAGCAACAGATGCTCAGCTCCAGCTAATCTGCCAGACGATGTGGATGTTGCCGGGTCCCTGTTCACTTCTACCCTCAACCAATCTGCCCAGCAGACAACTGGCTATCGGCATCCAGCACGCCGACCATGGCTACCAGAGGAGGCCTTCCAAATAATTAAATTGAAGGCCGCAGCCCGCCAACGTAGTGATAAGCACATTCATAATCAGCTGAAGCAAAAATTTAACACCGTGGCACTCTGCGTTCACGAGGCATATTATACCAAGTGGCGGATGATGTTGAATTTGGCTTAGCCATGGGCGACTTTAATCCAGCATTCCACGCCATTCGCAACCTCAGCGGTCAAGAGGTAATCACTACAAACGGCATCCTGAATGACAGCCAAGGCCATCCGCGTAAATTGGATGATGACATTCTCTCACGCTGCATGGATCCAGACATTTGTACTGATACACCAACATTGGATGAAGTGAAGCGTGCCATCTCTAAACTGAAAAACGGATGTGCAGCCGGTGCTGATGGCATCCCCTCAGAGTTGCTAAAACGTGCTTTTGATCCTGTAGCAGAATCACTTCTGGCCATCTTTCATCTGGTGTGGAGAACTGGAACCCTGCCAACCGCCTAGAAGGACGGTATTGTGATCTCACTCTATAAGGGCAAGGGACCGTGCAGTGACTGTAAGAGCTACAGGCTGATTACCTTGCTTTCCGTTCCAGGGAAGGTGTTTGCGCATGTTTTGCTGGGACGCCTGGAGCCTTTGATACATCAGAAGCATCGTCCCCAACAGTCAGGCTTTACGAGGAACAGATCCACATTAGACGCCATTTTGGCCCTACTTGTTGTCGGAGATACATTTTAAGTTCAGGAAGCCCCTGCATGTAGCAAATGTTGATCTTAAGGCTGCATTTGATTCAGTAGACCATGTCGCGTTATGGACGGCCTTACAGGGCGTAGGTGTCCCTACCACTCTGCTGGACTTGATTAAACAGCTGCATACTGGAACCACTACCCATGTTCATCTGAGGAACCAGATGTCAGTGCCTTGTAAATCAGTATCTGGTGTTAGACAGGATTGCATTTTGGCCCCTGCACTCTTTTGTCGGGCAATGGATTTCATAATGCAGCATTCTGTCAGGTCCACAGACATCGAGATCGGTGATCTCTCGCTCAGACCTTGACTACGCTGATGACGTTCTTTTAGTACAAAGCCCCGACAGGTTTCGTGAGGCACTCCAGCATATGGAGGAGGAGTCAGCTAAGATTGGTCTCCATGTTTCATGGTCAAAGACAAACTGCAAAATCTAGGACCAGGTCCACCTGCGACTCCAATCTCTTTGAACAACAAAACTGTTGAATCAGTTTCCAGCTTTTGCTATCTGGATTCTATACTTATCCGCTCCTCCAATTCTCACACGGAAGTTCTCATTGGGTTGGCATTGCAGCATCTGTCAGGGGCCATTTACAACAGATATGGAATCAACATCATCTTAGTATGACAACCAAGTTCAGGATTTATTCGAGCTGTATCCTTCCCATACTGTTGTACAGCTGCGAAACATGGACACTATGCCGCTCAGACTGGACAAAGCTGGAGGTTTTCCACACAGAATGTCAATGTCATATATTGGGCATAAAGTGGAATGACTTCATCTGTAATGCAGATGTTTATGGTTGCTTGGGTCTACAGACTACTGGGGCCACTGTCCACAGGCAGCGCCTTACGTTTTTCGGACATGTCGCAAGGATGCCACAAGACGTTCCAGCCAACGCCGTTCTCTAGTTGACTTGTCTGGGATAAAATTCCACCAACTGAGGGGTGGAGGCGACCCAGAGGCAGACCCCCTATTATATGGGTTCATCATGCCTTTTCCGATGTTGGACTCTCAGGCCGTCAAGCCTTTGCGGTTGCACAGGAACGGACCAAATGGCGAACAATCGCTACAGCCAACTGTCTGGCTAAGCGTTTGAGAGAGAGAGAGAGAGAGATCCTTCACCAGAGAAATAAAAGCTTCCAATATTAAGCTAACTCAAATAAGTGCTAACCCAAAAGAAACAAAAATTCTAGGAACTGGAAGAGTTTGGATTCCCCTACTTCAGTTTCTGCTTTCCATTTTCTGCCCTGTTAAAAAGCTGTGTTCCAACCCAGAAGTCCTTTTGTATTTCGGAGGTGAGCAAAGTGATCCATGTTCCTACTTCACAAGGGTGCTGTGATACCTACTTTGGTCCCATTCCTGCAATGTTTTGTGTATGGATGGACTCCTGAAACTATGTGAACGCCAACTAAGTCGACCTTTTCTAGGGTGCAGGAGTTTGCCCTAGTTGAACTTTTAAAGATTTTGGCAAGAAACGCGCTGGAGAAGCGTGAAGTACTATTTACAAACTTTTAGGGTATTTTCCACGCATGTTATTTGCAAAATGCAAAGCCAAAGAAATGGCTACTTAGAAAAATTTTCTACTCATTCACTTTCAGTGAACCTTTTAAATTACATATGCAACTTAAAAAACTACTAGAATATAAACTTACCATGGATGCTGTTTCTGAAGCAGTGACTGTACTTGGCTTAGTATATATCTGAGGAGAAGAAACAGTCAGCAGATTTATGGATTACAAATCTGAAAACAGTACAGTACAATGGTAATAACAAATACAATTTCAAACTGCTTAAGCAAGTATTTTTAAAACTCTTTATTCTCCAACAAAAGACAAGTCTGACTTCAGGTGATAAAAGATAAGCCAATACAATGCCTTTTTTTCCTCCTTTCCTCCATAATTTATGAAACTACAAGAGCCTTACATAAGAGTCTTAGCCTTACATAAAAACAGAAAGGCCAGTGCTGGGTGCCTAGAAGTGGGGAGAGCGGAGTTCAGGTCCCTGCTATGCCCTATGTGTGTCCTTAGGCAAGTCCCCTAGCCCCTCTGCATGACAGCCTCATGTGCACAATGGGGTCCTAACTTCAAGCCCTGCCATGTTGGGGTTGTGTGAGGAGAAACAATAATGAGCATAAGTGCTCGAACTAGGGACGCGGGAGGTGCTGCTGCACCCTCTGGCTTGAAATGGTTTGCATTATGTACAGTGTTTACAGTTCGGGGTTCAATGGCTATCGGCACCCCCATATAAAAAATGTTCCAGCACCCTTGGTAACGACTACGAGACACTCACAGACCCAGGAATTGGGTCATAAATTCTTCAATGGAAGACAAATAACCCCAGCCCCATACCCTGAGTCTCCTACTCCCATGGGAAATGACCATCCCAAGCCTCATCTCAGTATCCCCATTTCCACTGCCATCACACTCTCCCGCCTGCAAGCACCACCTCAGAAGCAGTACTGGGACTGAGCAAGGTTTCCCCACGAGTTTCTCCCCCTACTTAGCTGACTCAGCTAAGGCTTGAAAGACCATACTCAAAGCATACTTAACAATGGTTCACTGTCAAGCTAGGAGGGCATATCTAGTGGAGTTCTGCAGGGGTCTGTCATAGGTCTAGTACTTGTCAATATTTTCATTACTGACTTGGATAATGGAGTGGAAGGTATGCTTATAAAACATGTGGCTAACACCAAGCTGGGAGGGGTTGCAAGCACTTTGGATGACAGAACTGGAATTCAAAATGACCTTGACAAATTGGAGAATGGGTCTGAATTTAACAAAATGAAATGCTATAAAGACAAATGCAAAGCACTTATTTAGGAAGGAAACATCAAATATACAAATACAAAATGGGGAATAACTGGTAACTGATGGTAGTGGATCACAAACAGAATGAGAGCCAACAATGTGACGCAGTTGTAAAATAGGCTAAATATTATCTGAGACTCAGGAGGTAATTGTCCCACCCTACCTGGCACTGGTGAGGGCTCAGCTAGAGTACAGTGTCCAATTCTGGGTGCCGCACTTTACAAAATATGTGGACAAACTGGAAAGAGTCCACAGAAGAGCAACAAAAATGATAAAAGATTCAGGAAACCTGACCTATGAGGAAAGGTTAAAAAACCCTGAGCTTGTGTAGTCTTGAGAAAAGAAGACAGAATGGGGACCTAATAACAGTCTTCAAATATGTTAAGGACTGTTATAAAGAGGATAGTGACCAACTGTACTCCATGTCCACTAAAGGCAGGATAAGAAGTAATGGGCTTAATCTGCAGCAAGGGAGATTTAGGTTAAAGTTATAGTTAAAGTATAGTTATAGTTAAAGACAAGAATAATTTGCAATAGGCTTCCAAGAGATGTTGTGGAATCCCCATCATGGGTGTTTTTTATGAACAGGTTGGACAAGAGATGTCTAGGGATGGTCTAGGTTTACTTGGTCCTGTCTCACTGCCGGGGGGCTGGACTTGATAATCTTTCGAGATCCCTTCCAGCCCTGCATTCCTCATTCTACATCCCTCGGTATTCAAATAGTCAGCAAGCTTAAGCAATTTATGAGCAATTTAAAAGATCTGGAAAATTGATATTTGGTTGACTAAAGTAAAAAAAAAATGCAGGCTAATTTAAAAGACACTGGTCAATGGGACTACTCTTGTGAGTAAAGTTAATGTGTTTGGAAGACTGGAACCAAAGTCACAGAATTATACCACAACAGCAGGGTCCACATGGACATTTATTGTATGGCAGGCTAATGTGGGATAGATTTACACCATAACTTGCTGCAAACTACCTGTTCATCTAGACAAGCCCCTAGTCTACCAATATATCTGTTTGGCATGTGGTATGTTTTATAAGTGCAGTAAAACTAATGAAGCACTATTTTATTTGTAAATAATTATAGCAAGATGTTTGACATTGGTTTGTGGCTAGTTGTGATTAAGAAATTATGTTACACAAAGTGGCTAATACTTTACCTACCCATTGTTTCATGTATATTACTTTTAAGGGCGTTTAAGCATCCTATATTTACATCATCACGGTCACCAACAACTAATGCAACAAAACAGTTTGCACTATAACCCATTTTCACTGGTTCACAACTCTACTGTGGGCTTAAATAACCCATACAGGTGTTTTAGAGGCAAAATTTCATTCAACTTTTTTGAATTTAAAGAGTTAAAAAATCAGTTTAAAAAAGTTCCAGCCAAACCGAAGTTTGGAGCTTGATATTTAGCATATAACTAGCCACTAATGAGGCTGTTTGGTGTATGATTTTGGGTGAGAAATTTTAAAATAAAAGTTATAAGTAACTGAAAAATCATTTCTGAGCCTGAACAGAGTAGTCATCAGCTAAAATGTTTTCAGCGCACCATAATGCAATCCTACTTCATTTCATATCACAACAGTGCTTCTAGGGGGGGAAAATGCATACATTCACTGTTTAGCCTGCCAGGTACTAGAACTGCTGTTGGGATAATTTGCATGAGGGATATTGAAAAACTGTCATTAAAATGCAGCAAAGATTATAAAAGCCTGGCTTATGAAAGACAAAAGACGATAACAGGTCTGAAATAAAGATCACAGATCCTGCAAGGAACATTAATATCTTTTCAATAGAAAAGATACAGTCATCGCTATGTAGACACATGAACCGCTGGACTTATTATCCCAGTCAAATTACAGCAGAAGCAAAAGAGGATAATGACCATTCCCACATCTTGGTAAGTTAGAAGTATCTAAGGCCAACACCATTTAAGTGCTAATATTATTAAAACAATTTTTTTCTTAATAAATGAAAAATGAGAGGTCTAACTATAGATTAACATACCCTTTAATGCTGCAGAGGTAAAAATATAACCCCACAACAGCCTGGAAATGAATATAGTTACAGATTTTACACTGTGCCTCTAAGAAACATAGTGCTAAAGTAACAGCCAAGGGAGAGGGGAATTTATGGTGATTTAAAGCACCTTTGCACCCTCTCAATTCTTGGCTGCTGCAGGACCAGTGCAGCCCACAGAGTAACTCAGACAACTCTGGAGGGCTGTGTAAATTGCAACAGCCCATCCCTGGCTGCCTATGGGCAGAATCGCCAAAGCACTACTTGCGCTGACCCCAACCACAGCTCCTGATACATCCCTGCCATGTCAGTCCTTCCCTCAACATGTCACCTATATCTGGGGCCTCACTAGGCAGTATAAACTGCCTTGCGTAAAGTGTGCATCAGGGGAAATTCTCCCGTGGCCGGATCCAGCACTTTAAGATTCCCATTACTCTGCCATAGCTTTATAAAAGGGCTGTAGCAGACAGGATTCCCATGTCCACCCCCTGCCAATTCCCAGGTTCCTACAGCAAGGAAAAACCAGGACCCATTGCACATCCTGTATATTTTATAGTATAAATTTTCTTGACAAGCTACACCACTTTGAAAAAATGGGCTAGGAAACAGCTGTCCAAATGAACGTTGCTATATGAACTTTAATACTGGCTTTGACTTTTTAACTATGTTATCTGTACAACCTTAATTTTGCATTACAGTATGTTTTTACATTTAATTTTTGATATAAAGTGACATACCATAAGGTGCCTCTCAAACCTAAAAACTTTCAAGGTTTTGCACCATAATTGGCTATTTCTTAATAAGCAAACAATCTATGAGCTCGTCTACATGGTCCAACAATTCGGACTACTGGGGAGTGAACTGCAGCACTCAAAGTGCTTTTCTGTAATTGCCCATCGTGGACACTGCTAACGTGAACTAAAAGGTATCTCGTTCGTGTTAACATAGTCCTCTTCAAATAGTACTAAGGGAGCACAAACTAGGTACCTTTCAGTTCACACCAGCAGTGTCCACATAGGGGAGTTATAGCACAGCACTTTGGTGCATGCTGCAATTCACACCCCCGCAGTCAGCACTTGCACAATGTAGATATAGCCTATGGTACTTACAGTAATGTGCTTTTTCTATCAGTACTTTTTCTCTTCTTTTAAACAACAAATTAATGACAACTTGGACATCTAAAGTGGAAAACTGAATCCTGTGTACCCACGTACATAAACGGCTGATCCTGCATCTTCAGATACCTCCAGATGACAGCAGTGTCGGTCATCTTCATTTGCAGAAGGTGACTTAGCCACATTAAATCCAGCTACAACCATGGTGTCCTATTGAAAAGACAAAATTAAACCAATAACTGACATTGTTCTTTATTCGATATGCTGTCTCTCTAGGCCAACTTCCAAAGAACAACGTATGTTTCAACAGCCCTATGATATGCCAGGTATCCCTAATATGGTGAAATGGCACACATGAAATCAGGAGTGACACCTACAATAAGTATCACCTAGTACTCACTAAATTGATCTGACAGTTATGGTTAATCTATGGAGGTGCTTAATGGGGGATAAATGTGAAATGATTCATATTACCCCAAACAACAATGAGACTTGAACTAAATGCTCTGGATTCAAACATTCCCAGACTTCAAAACCCTGGCACCTCTCCTTATGGGCTAGATAAAGGAAGTACTGGGTGAAATTCTATGGCCTGTATTTGGCAGGAAGTCAGACGAGATTTCACAGTGGTCCATTTTCTGACTTAGAAGGGGGGGTGAAAGTAAGGCGGTACGGGCCAGTACGGTGTACCGGTAAAAAGTGGCCGCTAGTACTGGCCTTTACCCAGCTGGCTTTAAAGTGCTGTCGTTGGCGGCCCTGCTGGGCTGGGGGGGGGGGGGGGCACAAAAGTGGCAGCAACGTTAAAGTGTTTGCCGCGGCAAAAGACCCTGCTTAAAGTGCTGCCGCGGCAACGCTTTAATGTCGTTGCCCCTTTTGCCCCCCGCCCCCCTCTTGTCCGCTGCCGCCTGGCGCGGGCCAGGCAGCATGGAAGGACTGGCTGGGGGATGCTGATCCCCCAGCCCCGCCCCATCTGCCCGAGGCCCCTCCCCCTCTGGGGGCCGCAGCAGGCCCCTGTACTGGTCAGTCTTCGGCTTTACTTTCACCCCACTTAGAAGTCTATGAGGTCCCTTGAAAAACGTGTCCTTTCTTTATTTCAGACATTGTTTGGAACCCCAAATCTCATACCTTTTGTTTGTAAAATGAAAGTAGTTCGTAATATGAAGCATAGCCATGGTCCCCTACCCCCACCACTTTTACTACTTCCGCTTATTTGAAAAAAAAATATGTCCACCACCAGTAGCAAAATCAGAAATGCCACCTGAAGGAAAGAAGGAGTATATTTTTTGTTGAAATATAATTCAAATTTCAAAATGCAGGAATATGCAAGCAGCACTTCTTTCTAAAAAGAATTTCTAACTACTGGACTAAGCAAAAAGAAAAGTATTAAGTGTTCTAGGGATTAACCTAGAGAATGGCACTAACAAGATACAAATATTTCATGTCCTTGAAATGTGCAAATCATACATTCACAGGTCCTTTAACAATATAAGTAATTTGCAAGTGGTATAATTTATACACAAAATTCCAAGCTGAATGATATATATGTATGAACGTTTTAAAAAGGTTCTTCCTTCAATGTAAGTTTTTAATCAGGAACACACACACATATGCCCCTCAATCTCTCTCCTTGTTCTTTTTCAAACAAAGCTGTTTGCCCAACAGTCAATCTGGTATATAGCCAAAGGGAAGTTATTTTATGGAGACTGCCTTTTGTAAAGACACTCTCTTATGGGTTTTTTTTTTAAAATAGCTTTTAAATGTCAATGAATTGAAAACTATACTAAACCCATAATGGAATATGCTTGCAGGAAATGGTTCTGTTTGAGAAAGAATGTTTTTGACATTGGCCTGTCAAAAAAGGAATAAAGAAAGTTATTCGTCACAGGAGGAAGGGAGAAGAAAAAAGATTTATACACTTCCTGGGTTGAGAATGAAAATGAATAAGAAGTTTCCATTCTCTGCACACTTCAGCTATTTTACATCTATGCAGTAACTATTTACATACAGTAAGCACTTTCCAGAACATATAGATAGATATGGTTCATGACATAAAGACATGCCTGTCAGTCTATATTTTAGACAAGGCAGCAAATGAGGGCGAGAACAAAACATGCGAAAAACTGGGCATGTTTCCCCTGTTGTGATACTGCTACAAATCTGAAAGGTGGGTACATTTTACAAATAGGCAAACTAATGCAGAGAGAAGTTGAGACTTGCCCATGGTCACAGCAAATCAATGACAGAGTTTCACAAATAGATGCTCAGTCTCTTGCTTTACGTGCTAGGAATTTTTATTTATTTTACTTCAAAATATAAAAATGTAGGACCTCTCCTTCACCTGTTCCAATCCCTAAAATCAGTAAGTAACACAATTTATTTTCAATTATTTAAGTTATGAATGTAGATATGTAAAGTTAGGCTGGGCAATTTAGTATCACTCTGCCCTTCTGATATATAGCCACAAATTTAAGAAAGCCTGATACACTGATGGAACACTAATGCAAAGTTGTGTTTAAAATGTGCCCTAGTTTATATACAAAGTAAACACTAAGCACTTTGGAAGATCATACAATCATAGAATATTAGGGTTGGAAGAGACCTCAGAGGTCATCTAGTCCAACCCCCTGCTCAAAGCAGGACCAATCCCCAACTAAATCATCCCAGGCAGGGCTTTGTCAAGCCTGACCTTAAAAACCTCTAAGGAAGGAGATTCCACCAGCTCCCTAGGTAACCCATTCCAGTGCTTCACCACCCTCCTAGTGAAAAAGTTTTTCCTAATATCCAACCTAAACCTCCCCCACTGCAACTTGAGACCATTACTCCTTGTTCTGTCATCTGCTACCACTGAGAACAGTCTAGATCCATCCTCTTTGGAACCCTCTTTCAAGTAGTTTAAAGCAGCTACCAAATCCTCCCTCATTCTTCTCTTCTGCAGACTAAACAATCCCAGTTCCCTCAGCCTCTCCTCATAAGTCATGTGCTCCAGCCCCCTAATCATTTTTGTTGCCCTCCGCTGGACTCTTTCCAATTTTTCCACATCCTTCTTATAGTGTGGAGCCCAAAACTGGACACAGTACTCCAGATGAGGGCTCAGCAATGTCGAATAGAGGGGAATGATCACGTCCCTCGATCTGCTGGCAATGCCCCTACTTATACAGCCCAAAATGTCATTAGCCTTCTTGGCAACAAGGGCACACTGTTGACTCATACCCAGCTTCTCATCCACTGTAACCTCTAGGTCCTTTTCTGCAGAACTGCTGCCTAGCCATTCAGTCCCTAGTCTGTAGCAGTGCACTGGATTCTTCCGTCCTAAGTGCAGGACTCTGCACTTGTCCTTGTTGAACCTCATCAGATTTCTTTTGGCCCAATCCTCTAATTTGTCTAGGTCCCTCTGTATCCTATCCCTACCCTCCAGCGTATCTACCACTCCTCCCAGTTTAGTGTCATCTGCAAACTTTCTGAGGGTGCAGTCCACGCCATCCTCCAGATCATTAATGAAGGTATTGAACAAAACCGGCCCCAGGACCGACCGCTTGATACCGGCTGCCAACTAGACATGGAGCCATTAATCACTATCTGTTGAGCCTGACGATCTAGCCAGCTTTCTATCCACCTTATAGTCCATTCATCCAGCCCATACTTCTTTAACTTGGTGGCAAGAATATTGTGGGAGACCGTATCAAAAGCTTTGCTAAAGTCAAGGAATAACACATCCACTGCTTTCCCCTCATCCACAGAGCCAGTTATCTCGTCATAGAAGGCAATTAGGTTAGTCGGGCATGACTTGCCCTTGGTGAATCCATGCTGACTGTTCCTGATCACTTTCCTCTCCCCGAAGTGCTTCAGAATTGATTCCTTGAAGACCTGCTCCATGATTTTTCCAGGGACTGAGGTGAGGCTGACTGGCCTGTAGTTCCCCGGATCCTCCTTCTTCCCTTTTTTAAAGATGGGCACTCCATTAGCCTTTTTCCAATCATCCGGGACCTCCCCCGATCGCCATGAGTTTTCAAAGATAATGACCAATGGCTCTGCAATCACATCCGCCAACTCCTTTAGCACCCTTGGATGCAGCGCATCAAGCCCCATGGACTTGTGCTCATCCAGCTTTTCTAAATAGTCCTGAACCACTTCTTTCTCCACAGAGGGCTGGTGACTTCCTCCCCATGCTGTGCTGCCCAGTGCAGTAGTCTGGGAGCTGACCTTGTTCGTGAAGACGGAGCCAAAAAAAGCATTGAGTACATTACCTTTTTCCACATCCTCTGTCACTAGGTTGCCTCCCTCATTCAGTAAGGGGCCCACACTTTCCTTGACTTTCTTCTTGTTGCTAACATACCTGAAGAAACCCTTCTTGTTACTTTTAACATCTCTTATTAGCTGCAACTCCAAGTATGATTTGGCCTTCCTGATTTCACTCCTGCATGCCTGAGCAATATTTTTATACTCCTCCCTGGTCATTTGTCCAATCTTCCACTTCTTGTAAGATGAATCTAGACTTAACACACACACACACACACACACACACACACACAAGAATCTAGTCTTTAAATGTTCACCTTTTCTCATGGGGAAAAACCCTCCCATTCACATTTTGTTCTTAAAAGAAACAAACAATACATAGCCTGTAGTGGTCACTATTAGGCTATGTCTACACTACTGCCGGGATTGACGCTCTGAGATTGATCCACTGGTGGTTGATTTAGTGGATCTAGTGAAGACCCACCAAATGGACAGCAGATCGCTCTCCAGTCGACCCGTGTACTCTACCCCCGATGAGAAGAGTAAGGTAAGTTGATGGGAAAGTTTCTACCATCGACCCCCCACGGTGTAAACCCCGTGGTAACTCAACCTAAGGTATGTAGCTGGAGTTGTGTAGCATGGGTCAACTTACTGCGGTAGTGTAGACATAGCCTCAGTTGGTCATTTCCAAACGGTCATTAATATTAAAAGGAGCCACAAAAGAAATTACCTAAGGAGGTCACAACTACATTATCCTTGTAGTATGTGAAATGAGCTGCATTAAACTTGTAAAATAATAAAACATTTATTGTAAGCAGAAAGCTTGAGACAGTGTTTAATTCGTCTAAAAAATTTCCTCAGCATTTAAAATTCAATGATTTCTTAAGCGAGGTGGTGGCATTTTGAGAACTTTAAAAAAAAAGAAAGAGGTAGCTGAAAATATGGTCCAGTAAATTAAGATCAAAGTCTCAATA